AGGAGAAGGAGAAGGAGAAGGAGAAGGAGAAGGAGAAGGAGAAGGAGGAGTCCCTTTCCCCCTCTCCAGTTCCAAGGAAGCTGAAGAGGGACTTCCCCAGGAACTGGAGTGCCAGGACAGGGGAAATGGGTTCAAAATGAAAAAGGGGAAATGTGGGTTTTATCTATGGAAGAAATCCTGGGCTGGGAGGGTGGGAGACCCTGGCACAGGGTGCCCGGGGAAGCTGTGGCTGCCCCAGCCCTGGAAATGGGGGGTCCCTGAACCAAATCTGCCAAAAATCAGGGATTCATTTACCACTCTACCATTCCCACAGCGACTCCTTTATCTCTCCTCTGCTCCATTACAAGAGATCTGGTCCATTCTTATTTCTTTTGCCTAAAAAAGTCATGAAAACCATGAGTTTTTCATTTCTAAGAATAAACTCCCCTGGACAGCTGTTGACAACCATCCTGGAGTGTCTGATGCCTCTTTTGCCCTTTTCCTGGAAGCCCTGGGGTGTGACCAGCCCTGCAGCCCAATCTGGAAGCTGTCTCTGCTTCCCAGAGCTCCTAAACAACAACATTTTGGGACAGAATTCAACCAGTTTACCCCCATTGACCTCCAAAGGATGAATAGATCCCGGTTTTCCTCTCTGCCATCCAAAAGGTTCTGCTGATTTACACCCCCAAAGGGCTGGATCAGCATCCCTCAAACTCCTGGGTGGCTTCTGGGAGGGATCTTTGGCCTCTCCCAAAGTTCAGGAGCAGCTCCTGGTAAATCCAGCAGCACTGGGGCAGAGAGAAAACCAGGAGAATCTGGAGAAGAACAACCTTTAATGGAATTAATTTGGAGTGTTTTGTGTAGAGGAGTCCAAAATTCCTCCTTTTTCTCAAAACTGTTTTCCAAGTTGTGGGGTTTTTTTCCCTCTGCAGATATTCCTGGGTGTCTCCAGGCAACATTCCTTAGGGAATTTCTGAATGGACAAGCAACTAACTCAGATACCCCCTTGTCCCTTTAATTGGGGCACAGGTACAAAATCCATTGACTTTGTCATGGATTTTTAGGACAGAAAAAACATTTCAGGGCAGAATCTCAGGGGGTTTAAACCAGAAGTTGTGTCCTGGAGCAAGAGATGTCTCCCAAAAAAAAAGACCAGCCATGGAATCATGGAGAGGTGACAGAAACAACAACAAAAAAGAGATGAAAAATGATTTTAAGGGTTTAATTGAGCACGACCCCAGTTTTTAAAACGCCTCCCAGCTCAAAATATCATGGAAGGAGAAGGTTGGAATGGGATGATCTCCAAGGTCCCTTCCAACCCAAACCAGTCTGGGATTCTGGGAGACTTTGCTAAATGTTCTCTGGCAGCATCCAGTGGATCCTCTAAAGCAGGAATGTCTGTCTAGGGATGTGATGGAGGAATTGGGAATTCTGCTCGAGCCACTTGATGTAAATCAACCCCACGAACTGAAGAAGGCTCTCTCCTCTCTGCCAGTGGCCAGAAACAGGTACCTCTGGAAAACCGCAGGAATAAGAGGAGCACAAGATGAAAATCTGCATCCCAGGAGCTTCCTCAGCTGGATGTGGTGTCTGTTTATCAGCACTGTAGGATTTTTAGCTTCCCTGTGTTTGTCCACCTGTTGGAACCCTTTAAAGCCCTTTAACCCTTTAAACCCTTTTCAAACCTTTAAACCATTTTCAAACCTTTAAACCATTTTCAAACCTTTAAACCCTTTTAAAACCTTCAAAGCCTTTCAGAATCCACCCTGTCTGCAACAAAAAAAAGTTTAATAACTTGGCTGTGCTTGAGATGAAAAACAATCTTTGGCTTCCTCAGAAACTGCTCCCCAGCACTTTCACTTGATTTCAGAAGTGCTGGCAGAGCAAAACACAAAGAGGAAAAGCGCCCTGGTCCCCTTGCTGATGCCATCCAGGGTTTTATTATCCTGCTGGAGCAGGTCCAGAGGGTGGGAAGCACCACTTCCAGGGTGGGAGAGAGATGCAGGTGTAATTTCATTCTCGGTCCATTTTCCCAGTCAGAATTGAGTAAGAGTGACCTTAGTTTGAAGCTGGACAGAACATTTGGGGGCCTCAGAAAATCACCTGGAAGAAGCAGTGAATTTGGTGAGCAGATTGCAGAGGTGGAAGTTGCCAAAAAGAGAAGAATTATAGACTGGGTGACCTCAATTCTGAAGTGTTTAGATGTGCCTTCGAAAAAATCAGTCCATCCCAGACCATTCCCTTGCTGGGAGGATCCAGGGGCATCTGCTTGTGCATCCCACACCTTGCCCAGCTTTCCATCCCCAGCTGCTCCACGGGCAGGTCCAGTGGATATATTTAATGGAATGCCATTTTGGGGGCGATGGTTTTCATCTCCATGGCTCAAATATGATTTCTGCTGAAAGAACAGGGAGTATTGGGTGCCAAACCCGAGCAGCTTTGGGTGTTCTTCATCATTCCCTAATTTTACTTCTACCCACCTGATATTTCCCTCAGTTATCCTTTCCAATCCCCTTCCAACAGGCCCCCTCAGCCAGGAACCCTTTAGGCCCTTAAATATTATTTACTGCCGTGCCTCACAAAACCTCCCGCTCCTGCTCTTTGATTTTTCATGTTCTCTTTCCCTCCCTATTGATTTTCTGCCTCTCTGGGTTTGTGCTTTGCCATCTGGCCTCGTGCAATCCTTGCAATTCCCCTCAGAAAAACCTCCCGGAGCTCGGGGCCGTTTTTCATCCAGTTTTTCTTCATTAATCTCATGAATCTCCCCAGCTCAGGGACAAGAGGCCTCTGAGAAGCACCAGGGATATAAATGATGGGGTGAGGAGCTGCCCTTTTCCTATCAGGGCTGTTATGGGGCCGTGATCCCTCAGAAACCACCAAATTCCACTTCCCTGATGAGGTGATGAGTCCCAAAATAAGTGGCCTGGGGGGCGTGTTGGGACCTTCCAAAGCTGCAAAGGGACCAGGAGGGACTGGAATGATGCTTTAGGTGGGTTTCCAGCCTTCACTGAGGGCTGTGTGGAGCAGCTGATGCGTTTTGCCCCTTTGGGAGTTATTCTGTTATAAAGGAAAGGGGTTTATTCCTCGGGTGAGGATTGGGATGTGCTTCCTGAACTGGAGGGTCAATTGGCTCAAATGCACAGGGAAGTTCCTACAGATCCCACTGATGTAGGTGGGGGGGTTCACCTGGAGAAGAGAAGGATCCAGGGAGACCTTGGAGCCACTTCCAGGGTCTAAAGGGGCTCCAGGAGAGCTGGAGAGGGACTGGGGACAAGGGATGGAGGGACAGCACACAGGGAATGGCTTTAACTGAAAGAGGATAAATTCAGATGGGATATTGGGAAGGAATTGTTGGCTGGGAGGGTGGGGAGGGCTGGAATGGATTTCCCAGAGAAGCTGTGGCTGCTCCTGGATCCCTGGAAGTGTCCAAGGCCAGGTTGGAGCAACCTGGGCTAGTGGGAGGTGTCCCTGCCCATGGCAGGGGGTGGAATGAGATGATCTCCAAGGCCTTGGACACTTCCAGGGGTTGGATGAAGAGAATCCCAGAGCCACTGAGGTTGGAAAAAGCATCTGAGATCATCGAGTCCAACCATAAATACCCTTGGGAAGCACCTTGTCCCTGCCCTGACTCCGGAGAATTCCTGCCTTTGGATCTGGATGAACTCAGCCGGTTCCACCCCTGAACCTCCCGCCCCGTGTCCTCCCCCATCCCACCGAGAACACGAAGAGACCTAAAAATAACTCCCAGGAAAAGCTCCTGGGGGCAAGGATGGCCCGTTTGTGGGGGGGTGATTAAGGCCATGAATAAATTATCTCGTGGGCAAGGATGGCCCGTTTGTCGGGGGTGATTAAGGCCATGAATAAATTATCTCCGAGGTAATGAATGCCCCGTTCTTTCCATCCCGAGGGGCACGGCTTGAACCTTGGGATGGAGTGTCCCAGCCCAAAAATCAATGGTTATCCCGAGCAAAACCCCCCCCCCGGAGCGGGAGACAAGGACACGGGGGCCGTGCCGAGACATCCCGCTTAGCCCAGCAAAAATGGGAATAGAAATACGTGGAAGGGCTCCCACCAGGAAAAGAGTTATTTATTTCTCAGTTATTCATTTCGCGGGAGGAGAAGTTAAAGATTGACCCACGTGAACTGGGGTTGGATGCCCGGGCAGGTTCAGGGACTGGAGCAGTTCAGTTCCAACCTGGGGGACACCAAGTCCCAAAGTGACCAGGGGAAAACCTTCCCCCCACCTTGGTTTTTGGTGGTTTTCAGTTCTTTTTCAGTCTCTATAGTAAATATAATATAATGTAATATAATTAAATTAAATTAAATTAAATTAAATTAAATATAATTAATATATATTGTATAATATAATAATATATAATATAATAAAATAATATATAACTTCATATTTTTAAAAACTATATAAATACTATATAAATAATAATGTATTATATAAGTCTAATGGTGATTAGAAAACCTTTTCCCCCCCTTGTTTTCAATGGTTTTCAGTTATTTTTCAGCTTCTATAATAATTATAACATAATATAATATAATATAATGTAATGTAATATAAATTAAATATATAACATCATAGTATAGATAATATAATAATATATACAATATAATAATATCTATAATATATAAAATAAAAAATATATAACTTCATATTTTTAAAAACTATATAAATACTATATAAATACTATATAACTAATAATGTATTATATAAATATAATGGTGATTAGAAAACCTTTCTCCCTCCTTGGTTTTTAGTGGTTTTTAGTTCTTTTTCAGCTTCTATAGTAAATATAATAGAATAGAATAGAATTAAATATAATATAATTAATATATATTGTATAATATAATAAAATAATATATAACTTCATATTTTAAAAACTATATAAATACTATATAAATACTATATAAATAATAATGTATTATATAAGTGTAACGGTGATTAGAAAACCTTTTCCCCCCCTTGTTTTTTAATATTTTTCAGTTCTTTTTCGCCTTCTAAAACAATTATAATATAATATAATATAATATAATATAATATAATATAAATAATATATATAACATCATAATATAGATAATATAATAATATATACAATATAATAATATCTATAATATAGAATAAAAATAATATATAAATTCATATTTTAAAATACTATATAAATACTATATAAATAATATATAAATAATTATGTATTATATAAGTCTAATGATGATTAAAAAACCTTTTTCCCCCATTGTTTTTTTAGTGGTTTTCAGTTCTTTTTCAGCTTCTATAATAAACATAATATAATACAATATAATAAAATATATAGTAGAATATGTAAATAACAATATATTAAATAACAGAATATGTAAATATATATTTTTAAATAATATATTAATAATAATATAGTATATAAATCTAATGGTGATTAGAAAACCTTTCTCCCCCCTTGGTTTTTAATGTTTTTCAGTTCTTTTTCAGCTTCTATAATAAACATAATACAATATATCATGATATAAATGTTAATTAATGCATATTTTATATGCATTATTTAAAAATAAAAATGTCTTATAATAGTAAGAATGTTAATTTTTATTGTATATCCATTCTAAAAATTAAAATGAAATAAAATATTAATTTCAATATTATAAATGTTAATTAATCCATGCTTTATATGCACAATTTTATGTCAAAATTAAAATAAATAAAAACATTTATTGTAGTATAAATGTTAGTTAATGCATGTTTTTATTTTTTAATTCAAAATCAAAATATTTATTATAATGTTATGAATGTTAATTTATATTTTATATTAATTTATATTTTATATTCATTCTAAGAATTAAAATAAATAAAAACATGTATTATAATATTATGAATGTTAATGCACGTTTTCTACATATTTCTATTTGAAAATAAAATTAAAGTATGTATTGTAATATTATAAATATTAATTAATGTAGATTTTATATACATTATTAAAAGTAAAC